AACATTTATATGATCCTTTAGAAATCATTATAATATGCTGATTTGATGCTCAAGAAACATTTCTTATTATTATCGATGTTGAAAATAGTTTTCTCAAAATTATTAACTGTGATACCTGTAAAAAAATAGCAGGATTATTTGATGAATAATGAGCTCAAAACAACAGGAAATAGAAATATTTTGTAACATTACAAATGTCTTGATCATTTTATTGCATCCTGCTCACCCTCAACTTTTGAATGGCGTTGTGTTGTAGCAGTTGATATTTAAATCTTGAAACAAAAATGTATTTATAACTTTAGTGGTGAAAGTCATGATAATTTATATAATATTTATCAGTTATCTGGTGGTGTCTAAACTGAACAGATCTATTATGTACAGTGCTGTTTTACAACATGCCTGTTTATACAATGCAGATGTGTGATGGAATTTTGTTTTTCATCCTAACAGTTCAGCTTTCATCAGGTTTGAGATTTGTTTAAGATTGTAAGCATATGTCAGTGTAAATCTTTTTGTGTGTGTGTGATGCAGTATTCCTTATTGTTGTGATTTTGTTTAGGGTTCCATTGGGCTTAAGGGCCGTCCAGGTCGCCGTGGAGTCCCAGGACCTCCTGGGCCACCTGGGCTGCCCACATTCTACCTGTGGAGAAACACACCTGAGGAATGGGCTGCATTTCAGGTAAGTTTTCTCTTTTTTTCAGTTTCTCCATTCTCCATGCTCCATCCCTGTCTGTGGTCTCCCTGTCTACAAAATTAAACTTTATCCCTCATCCCTTTAATGTGGCTGTCAGTGCACTGCTGTATCTTGTGTAATGGCCCAGATGAGCACCACAGCCGTGATTGAATAAAGATGCCCTCAGAGAAAAAGAGCAAGAGAGGAAGGAAGGAATTCTCTGTTGCTGTAATGGGGTATTTGTTTCCTACAGTCTTTGAACCATCCCACACTGTACATCCAGAAATCCAGCTGAGGGCAAAGACTTTTCTACTCTTAGTTCTGCATGATGTCATAAGTTGTTCCTGTAACTGAAGGGGTGATATCCCCTTTACTCAAACCCAGAACAAGGTCACCTCAGCACAATCAATCAATCTCACCATCCATGTCAGTTTCCAGCTCCGTATCTCTGAACGCATCTGCTCTGATAACCGAAACCTCTGTCGAGCATGGTTTAATTAAAAGCAGCCTGTGACCTCGTAACTCATTTTGGGATATGTGTCCTGTGTGCAGCATGCTGCCTTTGTGAACGCCTTTGTAGTTTACAGGGCAGCTTTTAAGTCTAGAGTCTGGTTGGATGAGAATGGATCATTAAAGCTTTAGTAAGACCAGAATTGTAGGGTTATGGCTTTTGCCTTCATTAAAATGACTCCTCAGAGTAACAGAGAAAAAAGCTTCAAGAATAGACCAGGAATGACCGAAACACATATTTTGAATACAGACTAATTGGTGGGTAGTCTGAATGACTAACCAATGAATCAGCACAAGGAAGCTCAGTATAATTAGGCCAATTTTGAGTTCTCCTGACCCCGATCAGTAGGGCTGCATAATATTTTGAAACAAAATCATTATAAAGTCATGATATTTCATAATGCAATAGTCAAATCTTGAAGGGTGTTATTAAATAAATAAGTAAATATAAATAAATAAATATTCCGGTGAGCTATAAAAATAAAATCTTTTTAAATTTTGAAAATGTAAGATGTAATTAGTATAGTAAAATAAAAGTAGTGCTTTTAGTTATATATTAGTATAGAGTTGGTTCTTGCCCAAATATGAACAATCAGCATTTCATTTTTTCCCCCCAAATTGTTTAACCCTAAAGGAATGTGTTGCATTAAAAAAAGTCTTCAAAGTAAGGTCACTTTTCAGCTTTTTAAAATAATTTTATTTTCTATGCAAATGCACTCCCTTCTAGAATGATTGATTCTTTCCAAATATAGCTATTCAAGTAATCTGGAGAAATTTCCTATACTTTTTCATATTACAATATATATTGCAGAAAAACTAAATATCAAAATGACATTTTTTCCAATATCGTGCAGCTCTACCAATCAAGACACATTTTTAGGGTATACATAATATAAAACATAAATGTGATTTAAGACGCATTTTAATTGTTTGTAGCTTGAAACGATGTTCTAAAACGCAGCATTTATGGCATATAAGAAACTAAAAAATATCTGTCATCATACATATGGCTGTATCTATGAAAGTCGCGACTTCTCAAAAGAGTTGTTATCTGATTGTTTGACAACAAGTTGACCCATCCTTATGACAAATAGAGCAGTTTTGTAGGTTTAACTTGATAAAGTATCAGATAAAGCTTTAATATCAGCTGTGATGCTAATAATGTGATAAACATGGATAGTCATGTGATGCTCAGTTAAATAATTCTATTTTTCTCTCACTCTCTCCTCCAGCAAACTTCGTTCTTCCAGCTTCTCCGTGCAGGTTGGCCTGTAAGTATGCAACACATATTTGTGAAATTTGTTATGTTTCTGAAGATGTAATATCCCTGACTCTGTTCTGTTTTTCGTGAGCTTGTAGAGAGCGCAAGGTCCGTCTGGTCTGGAAGGAGAGATGGGGAAACCTGGGCCGCAGGTGAGGTTTAATAAGATTTTGATGAGGCTCAGCAACACCTGTGTTATGTAGCGCAGTACTTCCTGAGCTCAGATGACAACACCTGCTCTGCTAAATCATGATCTCTCTCACTCTCTCTCTCTTAACCTTCTTTACTAGGGGCCACCTGGGGAGCCAGGTGAACATGGATGTCCAGGACGTATGGGAGACATGGTAATATCCTATGGTGCAACGTTGTCATTTTTAGTAATGCTTACTAAGGCAAGCTTCATTTTTATTAGTGGTACTTGCTAAGGTATCACTATTGCTCTTGTAGTACTATTAACCTACTAATTGTGCACCAAAATGTTGTTGTCTTTAATTATAACGTTATCGTATTTGTAATAAGAAAATCTGACAGTCTGTCAAGACAGCTGCAAATAATGTAATTCATAAATAGACCAATATTTGCTTTTTTTTATCAGAGCAAGACATCAAGATATCACCTCAAATTAGCGGCAATTAATTTGCTTGGGGGGTTTTTATGTGTGTGAAAGGGAGACAGTTATTAGACACACAATACCACCCATCATTGCTGAGATTTAACGACAGATTATTGCGGTTTGTCAGATTTAATGTGAAAGGTACATCACAGACAGATAGACAGACAGATAGACAGACAGATAGACAGACAGACAGACAGACAGACAGACAGACAGACAGACAGACAGACAGACAGACAGACAGACAGACAGACAGACAGACAGACAGACAGACAGACAGACAGACAGACAGACAGACAGACAGACAGACAGACAGACAGACAGA